AGAGTGTAGTGCCTTCTTTAAACAGACCATGCATGTTTAAAACATGAGGCCTGTGCTTTCCTGCACAGCTTGCCTCACTGCCACACAATGCCTTGTAACCTGAGGTAAGGAACCAACTGCATCATACTGATTAAACTGCTCCACTCCACAACAGTACTGCACTTTGCTACAGTGCTCACGCTTTACTCCAACACACAACACACAACAATGCTTTACAGCATTAGCAAACTATGTTCTTTTGGATTTGTTCTCTCTCTCCTTTGGTGTTAAATCGCAAGAAAGTTGTAAATGATTCTCTTCCTAAATCAGTGTCATTTGACCTTCTTGTTTAGATCTGGAAGCCTTGAGATTATATTTTTTAGGTTTAATTTTCTCTAGTCATATAAGTTCATTTAAATTGTGCAACAAAGTTTATGGAAAGCAGCATAATAAAACTGTAATGTAAGGAAAGAACATAAGGAATGTAAGGTGCTTACATTCATTCCCAGGCAGAGTGAAGGGCTTAGAGTCCAGAAAAAGGCCAGTCCATAGTAGAAAATCAGCTTGCTGACATTTTATTCCTTACTCTCCTTTTCACTTATTTCATTTTCTATTAACCCCTGTCTTTCTTTCCTTGCCCTCCCTTCTCTCTGATCTCCCCAACCTTTCTCTATTTTTACCTGTCAGCCTCTCCTTTCACCTCTACCACTGCTCAAAAGTCCTATATTCAGCTGAAACCAAGACACAGGACTATGCAAAATAATTCCTCCTCCTGGCTAAGACAAACATGCTAGAGACACTTTTATAACTGCTCACTGTGAAGCCATAGGGTATCCAAATGTTTCCTTTCAATCCACACATCCAGTGGACTCCATCTTCCCATTTGTTCTTCAGGTCTTTTTTTTCTCTCTGACACCTGATCAGCTCAGTTTCACTCTACGACTCTGAGGCGCTCTCCTGTTACTCACTCCTCCTAATCGCTGGTCTCAGGTAGGCTGTTGATGTTCCAGCCACACTTTTGGTTGCGGACTCAGAGCCAGGATCAATTACTGATGCAAAAGAGTAACAGCTGCCCAAGTACTTTTCTCATAAGCCTTCTGCATTATTCACTGGCACTTAAGAGCACATGCGCAGAATGAATAGCATGAATAGCACCACACAAATATACATTCACAAAAAAGACAAAAAAACCCCCAAGTCATCTAAATTTATATCTTGAGTGTTACTATACAGGTGTCTTTACTCTAGCACACCATTATCATTGATCCTAATGCTCTTAAAAAAAATCTGTAATGTGAAGACATGACCACTCAGAGGCAGTGAGGACTCACACTGAGGTGCTCAGCTGCCTCCTTACAGAGGATATCAGCTTGTTCGTTACAAAAAGCAGACCAATGTAGTGGAGATGAAGGTTATCCAGCTGCTAACGTGTTGCAGCTTGAACAGCAGCAAAGAAGGCGCTAACTTTTCTAAACACCCTCCTGATCGTAACCAATCGCTCCTCGTTCTAACAAGTTAATCTTTTAATGCAAATTATTAGTGAGCATATGGTGTATATATTGTTTTTAAATCTAGCAAATTTGATCAAAAGTGGGAATTTGTCATATATATGTCACTCCTACATTGGCTCTGTTGTATTTTGATGCTGACAAACATCTACAGAGTTGAATAGACTCTATGGCTGGGTTTTTGTAAGATCTTATATACACAGGTGTGTCTTTCTAAGCTATGTCCAATCAGTTCGGTTTACCACAGGTGGACTCCAATCAAGTTCTAGGCATGTCTCAAGGATCCAGTAATTAGAGCAAACAGGATGCACTTGTTGAGTCCCACAACACCCTGATACTGAGTGTAGATGGATGGCAGTTTTATCCATTTAAAATGTAATTTGCAGTACAGCAAAGTGTGCAAAAAGTGAAGTGAATACTTTGTGAAACCAATGTTATTCCAATAGACCATATTTTTGATAATCACATACTCTTGATCAATGTAAAGTTTTGCATACATGGCTTTTTGAGATAGTTTTTAAATGAATAAAAGATACGAGCATCATCATCAACACTGGTCCAAAGTTGCTAAATATGTAATGTGGGGTCCAGTTTTGCTAATTTTATCATCACAAATAGTTAATCTCGAGAAAGAGAGCGAGGATACGGAGGGGGGCGTGTCAGCTGCAACTGGTCACATGACCCGGAAAATGTGGGGCTTAATTCCTGTGCTGGAGTGCTCTCAGCTGCTGCGTCTTTGTCCTTCGCAGTGCAAACCTCTTGTCTGTCCTGTTACGATCCCAGACCCCCGGGTGGACCGTCTGCAGCACGACATGTCGGGTAAGACACCGTGGCTTCGCCGACATTCGCAGTCACCACACTGACGTCTGAGCAGGGCCTCCGCGGACCGGACCGTGGCTGCGCGTAGTGCCCTCGTCTCCCAGAACATCGCGAGTTTAGCTATTAAATGCTGCAGAAAACAAAAGCCACAACGTTCACTGCAGGTTCGATATGGACAGAGACGAGGCGACAAGATTAAATCGCGTGTACGGACACTGTCCTTTTCATGTTAAAGGTTGTGATGTTTGATTTTTATTAGCTGCCGCAGCGGTCTGGACCACAGTAAAGCTCGTCGGGGCTTTAAGCAGCACATCCGGTCAGAGTTTTCAAAGTCAACCCGCATTGAACGCACCTGCTGAAAAACGCCAAATGGCAGAGTAATATTGTGATTTTTGTCCTTCCAACAGCCAAAACCACAGATATTTAGTTATTTATTTTAATTTTTTTTTTAGCGTGCACAACAAATCCTCAGCTATGAGATGCTACAACAAGAAAACGTTTATCGTTATTGCTTAGAGCAAAATATTTCATTGTTTAAACAGCTGCTGATTAACTTCCTGCCTGATTAGTGTGCACACGGGTAAAGTGAAGTCACAGTGAAGTGTAGATTGCAATACTGCACATCTGGGTGTTACAAAATGGGCAGCTGGAAATGATTTTCATTGCATCAGCAGTATTCCACTGTCCTAGTTTAACACAGACTTTGGAGCCACTGTCTCAAGCTTCATATTTACAGTATGATAACTTTATCATCCACCACTTGGCAAGAAAGTGAATCAAAATGTTGTGCATATGTCTAAGTAAGTTGAATTAATGACATTACCAAACTAGAACTGTTACAGTGAGATGGTTAACTGATAAGTCTGTCAGTAAATGCATCTGCCACACTGACTATGTATAAATGGACGGTGTGTCACCACTTTTCCTCCACTGTGGAAAAGTGAAGCTAACTTAGTGTGAATATGGCGGTCACCATCTTGGCATTTTGTGGCCAGATTCTGTGCAGTTGCAACCAAGTAGTTTGACACATCAGGCTGCCAATCATCCCAAATTCCCCCTTCTTAATTTATTAAAAACAAGCTTAACAGAGAAATTACCATGTGTACACAAATTGCATATCTCTACCAAATACTATATGACAAAACACCTTTAAAAATTTGATTTGTAACCACCCCCTCCTGACATGGAGGGGGTGGTGGTGGTGGGGGGAATGCTTTACTTACAATTTGCTCCAAGTAGACAAGTTGAAAATATCACTAACAGTTTAGAACAGTTCTTAAATTTTCCATCACTTGTGTGCTTTTATTTTTTAAAGGAGCCATTATTAACTTCCTGCATTAATGTGGGCTCTTTGATTAACTTAACACAGTGTCAGTGTGGACGTGCCACAATGTGTGCCATACTATTAGTGGTCACCTAGAAGAGACATTTTAAATGGAATCATAACACATTGTATTTGTATAAAGCAAAACTGACAGAATATATGATGTATATTTTCCCAGTGTAGATTATTTATGACTTGGCTCCATTTTATTTTAAAAAATATCCTCCAGATTACAACATTGGACCCAGAGCTGAGTGACTTCCCACAGCCACAAATGACTCCGTGGGAACACTACTCATGCTTCCTCTATGCCATTGTTTGCGATACAGGCCTTGCACTCATTTGATAGTCGGTTTATAGTTCCTTGATTTAGACCCCAGAAGCCCGCCGTCAACTCGTACATTTAGCTCAGTGAATACTGTCCGCAGGCCTGCATTCACTAGAACAGCAACCCGGTGTGTACTCTGCTGTTAGGCCCACAGATGAATTGGCCATACTGATACCCACACAGGACCGAACAGTGACGTGATGTGACAGAGGGTTTGTATATAGGGCACCAATGGTTTGTTAAAGACAGTAGGTTAAACCATTTCCATCTGAAGAAGTTTTACTCATTATAATGGCGAGTGTAACATAACTGGTGTTGAGTAATCACCATGATGATTAAGAGGTCATCCATTACTGTAAGCCTCCCAAAAAAAAAAAAAAAAAGTGTGCAGAAGCGTTGGCTAAACACCAGGCCATCCTGTAGGTGTATATTTTTTACCTTGCAGTTCATGCACATGAACCAACTGGTGCATCTAACAGTCAGTGAACATATCAAGCGAGTGATGCATGGTTATACCTCTCCTTGCATATTAATGGAGATTTAAAGCAGCATATATGCACTGAAGTTTGGTTGTATTTAATGGAGGAGAAGGCTGCAAAGACTGCACATGCAATAACTGAATGGCAATTTATTGGTCATGATACTCTTATTTTCACAAGTACCCACAGTGCAATTATCTTAAGTCGGAGTTCAGTGGTCACAGTCTGGGTGGAGTGAAAGTTGTTTTGCCTGAATCATTTCTTTGTTAGGAGGCTTTTGAGCCCATAAAGTGCTATTAGTTTCATTAAAAATCTCAAATTCTGCTGATCAGTTGGATTATTGTTGTGTAATGAACTATTGTAATTGATGCCTTCAGAATTTTAATAAGGCATTTTGAAACAGATTTGTTCCAGGCAAATTATATAAAAGTTATCTTGAATGCAGTTATTCACATCCCATCAATCATGTTAAACAGCCCTGCTGCAGAATGTTCATACATAAAGCTATTAAAAGACGGAGGCAGGTAAGTTTAAAAAAAAAATGCCAAAAATGCAGATATAACGTTGGTGCAGCCGGTCATATGTGTGTGTGTGTGTGTGTGTGTGTGTGTGTGTGTCTCCCTCTCTCTCCAAGCAGACCAAGCTTTTGTGACACTGGCCACAAATGACAGCTACGCCAAGGGAGCAATGGTTCTTGGCCAATCCTTAAGAAACCACAACACAACCAGGAAACTGGTTGCACTTGTAGGACCTCATGTTGGAGAACAGAGCAGGTAGCACACATAACTGATGCTGGGTGAAAATGGATCAGCTCTTGAGCCATTATTGTTGTGTAATGTTGTTTATGCGCCGTAGGGACATACTACGCTCCATTTTCGATGAGGTGTGTGTGGTAGACATCATGGACTCGGGTGATGCTGTTCATCTGGCCATGATGAAACGTCCAGACCTGGGGGTAACCTTAACCAAACTGCACTGCTGGACTCTCACACAGTACAGCAAGTGTGTGTTCATGGATGCAGACACACTGGTGAGAAACGGACTTGACACAGAACATGATAGTGATGGAAAAATCACCTCATAGTTAAGGAGTGATTTTATTGCTCTTGCAGCTCATTGCTCATGAAGCAGCCTGAGTGTTAAGCATGTCTTCATGTAATCTATGGATTTGAATGGAAAAATCAGAAGTGACAGTGCGCTGTTAGCAGAGTAAAAGGTGGACACTTCCAAAACCAATACTTGTAATTAGACCAAAAGAGAGAGCAGGAGATCGAATTAGATCAAAAATTGTCCATGATATTTAAGCTACAATGTAGATGTTACTGAATTTAAACACTTGAAAAGCATGTTTAATAACACTTTAACCTGAATTTTCAGCATTTTTCAGTAAATTACAATAGTAGAAAGATGAATATCTGAGAACCTAATTTATTTGAATGTGTTCAGGTGCTATCAAACATAGATGAACTCTTTGAGAGGGAGGAGCTGTCCGCAGCGCCGGATCCTGGGTGGCCAGACTGTTTCAACTCTGGAGTTTTTGTGTTCAGGCCATCAAATGAGACGCACGAGCAGCTGCTTGCCTTCTGTAGTGAAAATGGCAGCTTCGACGGTGAGACCCAAATGTTTTCTCTCTGCCTTGTTTCTGGTCTTCAGAGGCTCGTTGAAGGGTTAAGAGGTGTCATAAGTGTAAGGAGACAAACGCTAGATCTCATAGCCAGCAGTTATTTAGAGTAAAAAATATCTCAGAGGGCCAACAGTCTAGAGTGCTAATGCATTTTCTTGGCTGAGCGTGTGTGACATGGGCAATAGTGTTTGTGTGACTTGAAACCTAGGTTTTTGGAGGGATGCTTTGAAACAACTTAATCAGCTTTTTAGAAGGATGAAACTCTAAATTGAACTGGGCATCTCTAGTCTATAATGGCTCTGCTGCTCTTCAGAAAATAATTTTTGATATCTCTACCAAAACAAAGTTATGGTAGCCACACACCGCTGCTTCTTGTGGAGTTAACAAATTTGTATCTGCTAATAAGCGATGTACACAAAGTACAGCTTCTGAAGCTAGTAGTTGTTGTATGGCACTTGGTCAAATCACAAAATGTCATTCATCCTCTGGGGATCATGAATAGCTGAGTAAACATTAAATATAGAAAGAGTTGGATTGCAATTCAGCTCCCCGGCTGTGCGTCATGACTGGTTGGAAAGAGTTTGAGTAAACAAGCTAACGGCATATGACTGTGTTCTACTTAAGTTGATGATAAAATGGCAAAAATAAACCTTTCCGAGTGGCTCGGACCAAAGGAAATCAACAAGCGTGATCACAACTAGTTTATATTTGTAGCTAAATAATGCAATTATTCTGTAGAAGTTCCTGTAAACCCCCCACCCACCCCTTGTGCCAAACTTAATCCTGTCTTGGTCTGATGCTGTCCACACTGTAGTTCCCCCCCCGTTCAATGTCACGTAGGATTTGCCATCTGTTGCTGTGCGTGGGTTTCACTATATGCATACTCGCTGTACATCAGCAGCGTCCTTTCACAGGAATTTCCTCTTCAGTTTCTATTTTTACATGTTTGAGAATGTGTGTGTGTGTGTGTGTGTGTGTGTGTGTGTGTGTTGACCATTCAGGTATGTGCAGTAGTGCCCCTGTCTGGATTTTA